CATAAACTAAAATCAATTAAAAGAGATAAGGAAGGACATTGCATATTCATCATGGGAAATATCCACAAAGATGAAGTCTCAATTCTGAACATTTACACCCCAAATGAAAAGGCACTATAATATGTAAAGGAAACATTACTAAAGCTAAAATAACACATCATACCCCACAAATTAGTAGTGGGAGACTTCAACACTCCACTCTCATGAATGGAAAGATCTGCCAGACAGAGACTTAACAGAGGAAAAAAAAAGGGATCTCAGAGATGGTATGACTCAAACGGACTTAATATATATATCTAAAGAACTCTCTACCCTAACACATAAGAATATACCTTCTTTTCAGCACCATGGAACTATAATTAAACTCAATTACATACTAGGTCACAAAGCAAATCACAGCAGATACAAAAAAAAAAAAACCTGAAAAACCTCCTGTATTTTATCAGACCAACATGGCTTAACGTTAGATTTTTAGATTTTAACAACAACAAAAATTATAGAAAGCCTACAATTTCATGAAAATTGAATAATTCTCAACTGAATAACCAATGGGACAAGGAAGAAATAAAAAAATAAATTAAACACTTTCTATAATTGAAAATGAATCTACAATATACCCAAACTTATTGGCTATTCTGAAATAACTGCTAAAATTCATAGCACTAAATGTCCACATAAAGAAATTGGAGAAATCTCATACTAGTAACTTAAAAGTATACCTAAAAGTTCTAGATCAAAAAGAAGGAAACCCACCCAGGAGGAATAGATGCCAGAGAATAATCAAACTGAGGGCTGAAATCAATAATACAGAAACAAAGAGAACAATACAAAGAATCAATAAAACAAAGAGTTGGTTCTTTGAGAAAATAAAAAAAAGACAGAGAAGCTCTTATCCAAACTAACCAAAAGACAGAGAGAGAGCATCCAAATTAACAAAATTAGAAATGAAAAAGGAGATATAAGAACAGACAATGAGGAAATCCAGAGAGTCATCAGGTTATACTTCAAAAACCTATACACCACAAAGTTGGAAAGATCAAAAAGAAATAGACAATTTTCTGGATAAGTACCATACACCCAAATTAAGCAAAGATGAGATAAATAATTTAAATAGATCTCTAACACCTAAGGAGATAGAAACAGTCATTAAAAGTCTCCCAATAAAAAATAAAAAAGCTTAAAACCAGATGGTTTTAAGAATTCTACCAGAATTTTTTAAAAAAGCTACTAATAATCTTCAAATTGTTCCACATAACAGAAACAGAAGGAACATCACCAAACTCTTTTTATAAGGCTAGAGCTACCCTGATACCCAAACCACATAAAGATATAACAAAGAAAGAGAATTACAGACCAATCTCCATCATGAACATGGATGCAAAAAATACTCAATAAAATATTGTCAAACTGAATTCAAGAACATACACACAAAAAATTAACCATCATTTTAAGCGAATACCAACCTGTTTTTATTATTAGGGCTCTATAGTAGAGCTTGTGGTTGAACCAAGAAAGCTTCATTCTAGAGATGCAAGGATGGTTCGCTATATGAAAATCTGTCCATGTAATACACCATATAAACAAACTGAAAGAAAAAGGAACACATGATCATCTCACTAGATGCTGAAAATGCCTTTGACAATATCCCACACCCTTTTGTGATAAAGGTATTGGAGAGATCAGGAATACAAAAAATATACATAAACATAATAAAGACAATTACAGCAAGCTGACAGCCAATTTCAACTTAAATGGAGAGGAACTCAATATGATTCCACTAAAATCAGGAATAAGAGAAGTCTGTCCACTCTCCCCACATTGAACCAATATAGTACTTGAATTTCTTCCTAGAATAGTAAGACAACAAAAGGAGATCAAGGGGTTATAAATTGGAAAGGAAGAAGTCAAACTTTCACTATTTGCAGACAATGTGATAGTATACATAAATGGCCCCAAAGATTCTACCAGGTAACTCCTACAGCTGATAAACTCCTTCAGTAATGTGGCAAAATTAAATGAAAAAAAAAATCAGTATTCCTCCTATATACAAATGATAAATGGGCTGAGAATGAAATCAGAGAAACATCCCCCTTTACAATGGCCACAAATAATATAAAATACCTTGGGGTAACTCTAACTAAGCAAGTGATAGACCTGTATGATAAAACCTTAAGTCTCTGAAGAAAGAAATCAAAGAAGATATCAGAAAATGGAAAGATCTCTGATGCTCATGGATAGGTAGAATTAACATAGTAAAAATGGCAATTTTACCAAAAGCAATATACAGATTCAGTGCAATCCCCATCAAAATCCCATCACAATTCTTCACAGACCTGGAAAGAACAATTCTCAACTTCATATGGAAAAACAAACAAACAAACAAACAAACAAACAAAACAGGATAGCTAAAATAATCCTGTACAATAAAGTAACTTGTGGCGGCATCGCAATCCCTGACCACAAGCTCCACTATGGAGCTATAATAATAAAAACAGATAGTATTGGCTTAAAAACTGACATGTGGGAGACAGCTACTGTTCCCTGAGACAGAGCTTGCCAGCACCCAACTGGACTAAGAGGTGAGTCTTTATTCTCATTCCTGAACACCCCAGCCCCTAGGCTTTGGGGCCAGGGGCACAACCTGTACCCCTACACCACTGTCCATTTCAGTCCCATTTTCAGGCCAGTCAGCAGGCAGGCCTACTACAGACAGGTCAGACTACCATCATCCCCTACAAGACCCTGTAACCCACAAGCCACACCCCTCCCAAACCATCCACATGCCAAGATTATAGCTACTCCCTGAGACAGAGCCCACAAGTGCCAACTGTACTAAGAGCTGCTCCCTGAGACAAAGAGTTCATCAGCAGCAACTAGACCAAGAGCTTCCACTGGACCAAGAGTATCAGTCAGACCAAGAAGGCGTGCCACAGACACAGACACCACTTGTACCAAGTAGAGAAAGAAATAGGTAGATGCCAGTGCAAAAATACAATCAACAAAACCAATATAGCTCCATCAGAAAGTACATCACCAAGACCTGAACATCCCAACATAGAAGAAACAGAAGAAATCAACCTTAAAAATGACTTTAAGAAGATGATAGAAATCTTTAAAGAAGAAATGAAAAAAATACCCTTAAAGAATTTGAGGAAAAGTCAAACAAAAAATGGGAAGAAATAAGTAAATCCTTTGAAAGCCAAGAGAAAGCAATTAAACAAGTGAGGGAAAGAGTTCAAGATTTCAAAACTGGCTGGGCGGTGGTGGCGCACGCCTTTAATCCCAGCACTTGGGAGGCAGAGCCAGGCGGATCTCTGTGAGTTCAAGGCCAGCCTGGACTACCAAGTGAGTTCCAGGAAAGGTGCAAAGCTACACAGAGAAACCCTGTCTCGAAAAACCAAAAAAAAAAAAAAATTCAAAACAGATATTGAGACAATAAAGAAGACACAAACTGAGGGAATGATGGAAGTGGAAAATCTGAGTAAACGAATAGGAACTACAGATGCAAGAATGGGCAACAGAATGCAAGATACGGCATTGAAGATATTACAGAAGAAATAAATTCATCAGTCAAAAGAAAGCCAACAAAATCATGACTCAAAATGACCAAGAAATTTGGGACACCATGAAAAGAACAAATCTAAGAATAATAGCGATAGAAGTAGGAGAAGAATACCAACTCAAAGCTACAGAAAATGTATTCAACAAAATCACAGAAGAAACATTCTCCCAACCTAAAGAAGGAAATACCTATTGTAGCTGGAGAATTCCTCTCCAGCTCCTGCCAAGCACTGGCAGTCCTGTAGCCCACTAATAAAATAAACACAAAGATGCTTTTATTATTTAAATTGTTTGGCCTAAAAGCTTCTTGTAATCTATTTCTTCTATTTTAAATTAACCCATTTCTATAAATCTATACCTTGCCACATGGCTAGGGACTTACCAGTATTTTATAGGTTGGTACTCATGGTGATGGCCAGCAGCATCTCTTCTCTCAGATTTGCACCTCCCAGAATTCTTCTCCTCCTTGTCCTGCCTACCCTATCTTTTCTACCTGGCTACTGGTCAATCAGAGTTTTATTTATCAATCAATCATCTACAGCAACCTATAAAGATAAAGGAGGTTACAGAACACCAAATAGACTGCTCCCCCCAAAAAAGGCCCCTTGTCATATAATAATCAAACCACTAAACATACAGAATACAGAAAAAAAATATTAAGAGCTGAAAAGGAAAAAAAGCCAAATATCATACAAAGGCAGACCCATAAGAATAATACCTTAATTCTCAATGGAGCCTCTAAAAGCCAGAAGGTCCTGTACAGATGATATGCAGATACTAAGAGACCATGGATGCCAACCCAGACTATTATACCAAGCAAAACTCTCAGTAAACATAGATGGAGTAAACAAAATATTCCATGATAAAACTAGATTGAAACAATATCTCTCCACAAATTCAGCCCTACAGAAAGCATTTGAAGAAAAAAATCCAACCTAAGGAAGTTAGATACACCCATAAAAACACAGACAATAGATAGCCCCATACCAACAAATACCAAAGAAGGGCAACATACAACTCTACCACCAAAAAATAACAGGAATTAACAATAACTGTACATTAATATCCATTAATATCAATAATTCACATATAAAAGGATACAGGCTAACAAAATGAAAACAAGATCCATCCATTTGCTGCATATAAGAAACACACCTCAACTTCAAAGACAGACACTACCTCAGAATAAAAGGCTGTGAAATGACTTTCCAATCAAATGAATTTAATAAGCAAGCTGGTGTAGCTATCCTAATATCTAATAAAATAGACTTCAAACTAAAATCAATAGAAAGGGATCTGGTGTGGGACAGAGAAAAACCAATATTTTTATTTAAAACAGGTTGATTATAAATACAGTCTCTTTCTAAGTATAAAAGGGGAGAGTAAACATAATGATAAGATAAACAGATACGTTATTGAACCTACTTTTAAAGAGCAACTTGTTTAAAAATGTTTTACATTGCTATAGATTTTAGTTTATTGATAGAAATTTAAAGTTCATTTTGTTATACTGTATATATATTTCTACTCTCCTTTGAGGTATTGTGTTTTGTAACGCATTTATATTGTAATGGATAATTAAGAAAAAGATTAATAATTAGTACAATAATAACACTTTTAGTCATGTTAGTTAATCTTTCTAGGAATACATAGATATATTTCAGTTAGGTAGGTAGTTTTCAAACACTTCAAAGACCTACAGAATATGGCATTTAAAACATTTTTTTTATTTAGACTTTCTGGACAGTGATACATGTCTGTTCCTGGCAGCACCAATTTATTTCAGAGAGGATGATGGGCATCAAAGACACTCCATATGGAGTTTATCTTCACCTTGACAAAAATAGCCATTTCGGCAAGAAACTGTTCTTGCCTGCACTGCTTGATCAAGTAGACATACAGGACCAATAGGAAGGTGACCACTGAACTTTGCTTGGCAAAATGGTCATTCAAGATCCTGCTTCACAGAGGAAACTGCCAGACATTCTGCATGACACAAAAAAAGTGATTGAGAGACTCTAGGTATGTGGGCTAAAAACAAATGTCCCACCTTTACAGAAAAATATTAGATGACTGTAGAGGCTGCCAGCTGTCTCTGTCCACTCTTGCAAGACTCCTGTAAGTTGCTTGTGTCCTTCTCCCATTTCTCAGGTAATCTTATATCCTTCTGAGGTCTTTGATGTAGTTGAAGACTAGATAATTATAATTTCCTCAGTTATCATGAAAGATAAGTTAGATATAAAACCTTAGATGCACAAATATAGGATAGATAGGATATCTTCTTTAACTGTAATTCTTGCTTAATAATTGTTTTGTTATATGTAATTTTAATATGTTAAAGTTAAAACCTTCCTTTTTGAAGAAAAATAAAAAGGGGAAGTGCTGTGGATGATTGATTGATAAATAAAACTCTGGTTGGCCAGTAGCCAGACAGGAAGGATAGGGTAGGCAGAGCAAGAAGGATAAGAATTATGGGAGGTAGAAGGCTGAGAGAGGAGATGCTGCTGACCACCACTATGAGTAGCAAAATATAAAATACTGGTAAGCCATGAGCTATGTGGCAACTTACAGATTAATAAAAATGGGTTGATTTAAGATATAAGAACAGTTAACAAGAAGCCTGCCACAGCCATATAGTTTATGAGAAATATTAGACTCTGTGTATTTACTTGGATGGGTCTGAGCAGCTATGGGACTGGTTCATGAGAGAAATTTGTCCTGACCGTGGGCCAGGTAGGACAAGGAAAATTCTAGCTATGGAGATCTGGAAGGACATTACATATTTATCACAGGGAAAATCCAACAAGATGAAGTCTCAATTGTGAATATTTTTGCCCCAAATACAAGGGCACCTATATTCATGAAAGAAACATTACTACAGCTTAAACTGCACATCAAATCTCATACAGCAGTAGTGGCAGATTTCAACATCCCTCTCTCACCAATTAACAGTTCTACCAGACAGAAACTTAACAGAGAAATAAGGGATATAACAGACATTATGATTCAAATGGACATAATAGATATCTACAGAATGTTCCACCACAACACAAAAGAATATACCTTCGTTTCAGCACCCCGTGGAACCTTCTCCAAAACTAACCCCATGCTGGTCACAAAGCATATCTCAACATACACAAAAAAAAATTGAAATAACCTTCTTATCTTATTGGACCACCATGGCTTAAAGTTTGATTTCAACAACAACAAAAATTATAGAAAATTTAAAATCTCATGTAAAGTGAATAATGCCCAATTGAATCACCAATGGGTAAAGAAGAAATAAAGATAGAAATTAAAGATTTCCTAGAATTCAATGACAACAGATGTGCAACATACCCAAACTTATGGAACACTATTAAAGCAGTGCTAAAATTCATAGCACTAAATGCCCACATAAAGAAGATGGAGAAATCTCACACTATTGACTTAACTTCACAACTGAAAGGTCTAGAAAAAGAAGAAGCAAACTCTCCCAGGAGAAACAGATACCAGGACATAATCAAATTGAGATCTAAAATCAATAAACTAGAAACAAAGAGAACAATACAAAAAAATCAATGAAACAAAGAGTTGGTTCTTTGAGAAAATCAACAAGGTAGACAAGCCCTTATCCAAATTAACAAAAAAAAAAAAAACCCAGAGAAAAAGAGCATCCAAATTAACAAAATCAGAAATGAAAAGGGAGACATAACAACAGGCAACAAAGAAATCCAGAGAATCATCAGGTCATAATTCAAAAACCTGTACTCCACAAAACGAGAAACTCTGAAAGAAATGAATGATTTTCTGGATAGGTACACCATACCAAAGTTAAATCAAGACCAAATAAACTACTTAAATAGACCAATAACCCCTAAGGAAATAGAAATGTTCATTAAAAGTCTCCCAATCAAAAAAAAAGCCCAGGACCAGATGATTTTAGCACATAATTCTACCAGATTTTTCAAAGAAGAGATAATACAAATACTCTTCAAATTGTTCCACACAATAGAAACAGAAGGAACATTACCAAATTCTTTTTATGAGGCTACAGTTACCCTGATTCCCAAACCATGCAAATTTGCAGCAAAGAAAGAGAATTATGGACCAATCTCCCTCAACTACATTTATACAAAATTACTTAATAAAATACTGGCTAACCGAATCCAGGAACACATCAAAAAAATTTTCCACCATGAACAAGTAGACTTCATCCAATGGATGCAACGATGGTTCGACATACAAAAATCTGTCAATGTAATATACCATATAAACAAACCAAAAGGAAAAAAAAACCAAATGATCATCTCATGGATGCTGAAAAGGCCTTTGACAAAATCCAATACCCCTCCATGATCATGGTTCTAGAGAGATCAGGAATACAAGGAAAATACCTAAACATAATAAAGGCAATTTATGGCAAGCTGACAGCCAATATCAAATTAAATGGAGAGAAACTCAAAGCAATTCCACTAAAATCTGGAACAAGACAAGGCTGTCCACTCTCTCCATACTTATTCAGCATAGTACTTGAAGTTCTAGGTAGAGCAATAAGACAACAAATGGAGATCAAGAGTATACAAATTGGAAAGGAAGAAGTCAAATTTTCAATATTTGCAGGCAATATGATATTATACATAAATGACCCCAACAATTCTACCAGGGAACTCCTACATCTGATAAACTCCTTCAGTTAGGTGGCAGGATACAAGATCAACTCAAAAAAATCAGTAGCCTTCCTATATACAAATGATAAATCGGCTGAGAAAGAAATCAGAGAAATATCACCCTTTACAATAGCCACAAATAATATAAAATACCTTGGGGTAACTCTAACTAAGCAAGTGAAAGACCTATATGATAAAAACTTTAAGTCTCTGAAGAGAGAAATCAAAGAAGAAACCAGAAAATAGATCTCCCATGCTCATGGATAGGTAGAATTAACATAGTAAAAATGGCAATCTTACCAAAAGCAATCTACAGATTCAAAGTAATCCCTATCAAAATACCAACACAATTCCTCAAAAACTTGGAAAGAACAATGCTTAACTTTATATGGAAAAACAAAAAACCTTGGATGGCTAAAAGGATCCTGTATAATAAAGCAACCTCTGGAGACATCATGATCCCTTACCTCAAATTTTACTATAGAACTATAGGAATAAAATCAGCTTGTTACTGTCATGCAAACTGACACATGGACCAATGGAATCAAATTGAAGACCTTGACATTAATCCACATACTTATGAACATATGATTTTCGACAACAAAGCTCAAACTACCACAGAAAAATGAAAGCATCTTCAACAAATGGTGCTGGTGTAACTGGATGTCAACATGAGGAAGATTGCAAGTAGATCCATCACTGTCACCATGCAAAAAACTCAAGTCCAAGGGGATCAAAGACCTCAACATAAATACAGTTACACTGAACTCGATAGAAGAGAAAATAGGAAATAATCTGGAATGCATTGGCACAGGAGACAACTTCCTAAATACAACACCAGTAGCATAGACACTGAGAGCAACAATTAATAAATGGGACCACCTGAAACTGAGAAGCTTTTGTAGAGCAAAGGACATGGTCAATACAAAAAAAAAAATGATAGTCTACAAAATGAGAAAAGATCTTCACCAACCCTACATCTGACACAGGGTTGATCTCCAAAGCATATAAAGAACTCAAAAAGCTAGACTTCAAAATACTGAACAATCCAATTAAAAAATGGTCTAAAGAGCTTAACAAAGAATTCTCAATAGAAGACTCTCAAATGATTGAAAGACACTTAAGGAATTGTTCAACATCCTTAGTCATAAGAGAAATGCAAATAAAAACAACTCTAAGATATCATAATTTTACACCTGTCAGAATGGCTAAGATCAAAAACACTGAAGACAGCTTATGTTGGGGAGGATGTAGACCAAGTGGAATACTCCTCCATTGGTGTGACTGAAAACTTGTACAGAAACTCTGGAAATCAGTATGGTGGTTTCTTAGAAAATTGAGAATGTCTCCCTCAAGACCCAACTATACCACACTTAGGCATATACCCAAGGAATGCTCAGTCTTACCACAAGGACACATGCTCAACTATGTTGATATCAGCATTATTCTTAATAGCAAGAACCTGGAAACGATCTAGATGCCCCTCAACTGAAGAATGGAGAAATTAAATGTGTCACATATACACAATGGAGTACTACTCAGCCTCCTCCCACAAAAAAAAATGATATCATAAAATTTGCATGCAAATGGATGGAACTAGAAAATACCATCCTGAGAAAGGTAATCTAAATTCAGAAGAACAAACATAGTATACACTCACTCATAAGTGGATACTAGATGTGAGGGAAGGGATGGCCAGACTGCAATCCACAGTTCCAGAGAGGCTAGCTACAGGGATAGACACTAGGAAGGACATATCAATGACCCAGTGAAGAAGTAGATGAGATCTACATGAGTGGACAGGGTGGAGGATGGCAGCGGGCAAGTAGTGGGGGATGAGAACATAGGGAAATTGGAGGGTCAATCTGGAACAGGGACAGAGTGGGAGGCAGGGAGGGAGATACCATGATAGATGAGGACATCATGGGAAAAGGAAGAGGCAGGGTTCTGGGAAGGCTCTCAGGAATCCACAAGGATGACCTCACCTTGCACTGCTAGCAGTCATCCAGAGGGTGCCTGGACTGGTCTACTCTGGTGAGCAGTCTAGTGAATAACCCGCCTATCATCATAGAGCCTTTGTCCAGTGACTGATGGAGGCAGATGCAACGATCCAAAGCCAGGTGCCAGGTTGAACTCTGGGAATCCAATCTATGAGTGAGAGGAGAGACTCTGCATGTGGGGAACATCAACATTATAATGGAATGACATGCAGAGATGACCAGCCACACTAGTGGAGGCCCATGAATTATAGAGTAGTGACTGTGGAGACCCATGGGACTGGATTAGGCCTTCTGGACATGGAAGATGTTTGTTTGGCTCAAACTGATTGGGTGGCACCCAGGCATTGAGATAGGGATCCATCCATGATGCATGAGCAGGCTTTTGGGAATCCAGTACCTGTGGTATGATGTCTTGTGTAGCCTTGGTGCAGTGGGAAAGGGCTTGGACCTGCCTAGGCTCAGTGTGCTGGGCTCTGCTGACTCCCCATGGGTGACCTTGAGTTGGGGGATGTGGGGTTATGGGTAGCTTGGGAGGGAGGGCTAGAGGTGTGAGCAGGAAGGAGGGAGGATCTGCGGGTGGTATGTAGAGTGAGTAGAATATTTTTAATAAAGAAAAATGAAAAAAACTGATATGTGGACCAATAGAATCGAATTGATGTCCCTGATATTAATCCTCAAACGTTTTAACACCTGATTTTTGAAAAAGAAGCAAAAAATGTACAATGGAAAAAAGAGCTTCTTTACCAAATGGTGCTGGCATAACTGGATAACAACATGTAGAAGATTGCAAATAGATCCCTATCTATCACTATGCACAAAATTCAAATCAAAGTGGATCAAAGATCTCTACATAAATCCAGTTACATTTGACCTGATAGAAGAGATAGTAGGAAGTAGTCTTGAACACATTGGCACATGAGAGCACATCCTAAATATAATACCAGTAGAACGGACACTGAGAGCAACAATCCATAAATGAGACCTCCTGAAACTGAGAATCTTTTTTAAGGCAATGGACATGATAAATAGGACAAAAGGACAGCCTACAGAATGGGAAAAGATCTTCACAAACCCTGTGTCTGGCTGAGGGCTGATCACCAAAATAAATAAAGAATTCAAGAAACTAGACAGCAAAACACTAAACAATCCAATTAAAAAAATGGGCTATGTAGCTGAAAAGAGATTTCTCAACAGAAAAATATCAAATGGCCAAAAGACATTTAAGGAATTGCTCATCCTCCATAGTCATCAGAGAAATGCAAATCAAAAGGACTCTGAGATACAATCAGAATGGCTAACATCAAAAACACTGATAACAGCTTGTGTTGGAAAGGATGCGGAGCAAGGGGAAAACTCTACCACTTTTGGAGGGAATACAAAATTATATAGCCACTTTGGAAATCAGTATGGTGGTTTCTCAAAAATTGGCAATCTTCTTCAAGACCCAGGTATACCACTCTTTCAAATATACCCAAAGAATACTCAATCATACCACAAGGACACATACTCAACTATGTTCATAGAAGAATTATTTATAATAGTCAGAACCTGGAAATAACCTAGATTCCCCTCAACTAAAGAGTGAATAAAGAAAATGTGGTACATATACACAATGGAATACTACTCAGAAGTAAAAAAATGACATCATGAAATTTGCAGGCAAATGTATGGAACTAGAAAATATCATTCTGCGTGAGACATCCCATACTCAGAAAGACAAACACATTATGTACTCACTCATAAATGGATACTAGATGTGAAGCAAAGGATAACTAGACTACAACCTACAGCTCTAGAGAATCTATGAAACAAGGAGGACCCTAAGGGGAAAGCATGGATTGCCCTTGAAAGGGAAAATAGATGAAATCTCCCTGAGTAAATTGGGGATGAAAAGGGAAGGGGCAACAGAGGGTAGTGGATGAGGGATGAAAACATAAGGGAATGGGATGGTAAAGATGGAACAGAGATGAAGTGGGAGGGCAATGAAAGAGATAGCTTGATAGAGGAAGATATCATGGAGATAAGAAGAAGCCTGGTTCTTAGGAAAGTTCCCAGGAATCCACAAGGATTACCTCACTTTTGAATACTACCAATAGTGGAAAGGGTGTCTGGCTTACCCTAGTAATCAGATTGGTGAATACCCTAACTGTCAACATAGAGCTTTCATCCAGTTACTGATGGAAACAGATGCAGAGATCCACAGTCAAGTACCAGGCAGAGCTTCAGGAAAACGTTTGAAGACAGGGAAGAGCTACTCTATGAGAAAGGGGCATCAAGATCATGATGGGGAAATGTGGTGGTAATCTAATTATACTGAAATGTGATTTTGATTGTATGTTAATAAATAAAGTTGCCCGGGGGTCAGAGCTATTAGAGCCATAGCAAGAGTGTGGCAGTGGTGGCACA